GTGAGTATTTTTACGCGTGCACAGAATTTATAATAACGTTTTCTATTCGATTTGTGTGTGCATATATTAATTATAGGCGCCGGTCGCGGTCATTCTGGTCAGGGTGTATCTGAATACGGGCCGATTCGCCGGGTGTATGCTCACCCCCGTTTTTGCGCATTTAATATCACGGATCCGTCCGAATTTTAATTATTGGAATTTTTAAGTGCGTTTCTTACCAATAGTACCGCGTTTTAAATTTATTTAATTTTTATGCCTATGTGTCCAAATACGATTTTTTTTTTTTCAAACGAGATCTAATACCTTTTTTTCTGTAAACTGTTAAGCACATGTTTTTTCTTGGAATGTTGTGATATATCTGAATTGAAATTTTAAAGAGTAGTTTTTGAACTATTAAAACCTATATACTTGAAAAATAGCATTCGTTAACAATGGTTTTATACAATTATACAACATATGTGACACCTATTAGATAATTTAATATTTATTGTACTCAAATAATTTTTATAAACTGTGAAATGTGTTTTATAGATTTACATTAATTACTAAAATTATCAAATAATTATCATAGCCTAGATACATCTATTATTATGGACCTATTATTCTAAGTACATAAAATAAATTAATTCATAAAGGAAAAAACTATAATTATTTGAATTTTGATTTATATACATCAACATTTCAAAAAAAAGTTGTTGAATTAACGATTTAAAAAAAATGTGTAATTATTATTTAAGAAAAATAAGTTGGTATCGGTTAAGAGGTCCTCAATTAATAGAATGAAAATTTTAGTATTTTAAAATATGACCGCTAAAGTTTTTAACAATTAGTAATTGAATATATTCATCATTTTAGTAATAAATGGGGGTGAGCATGCTTGGTGACTCACTCTGTATGTGTGTGTGCGGACGAGAACTTTATATTATTTTATTATATTTTATTAAATGAAAAACAAAAACAATTAAAAAGTGCTTTGATTCGTTTGGATCAATGCAATATTCTTGATTGTTATAAAAACCCGTATTTTTAATATTGTCTATATACTTCATTAGGTATATATTCGTATTGCTAGATTGAAAAAATGCGTAAGATCTTCTGCCCAGCGTGTAATGAAAAAACAACTGTTGTGATTGGATTTCATATTTATTAAATTTAAATATGATATAAATTAATTATATATTATGTATTATAGTTTAAATGAAATTGCAAAAACAGAATAAGATAAAATATTAAACTTTGAATTTATACTAGGTTTTTATTTATACATAAAATTAACATTGACATAGCATTTTAGTCAAAATGTGACTGTCACTGCAAATGTACTGATGTATGAAAATAAATTAAATTTGAATCTTTACTTTGATGAAATAAGATATTTAGTTTTCATTAGATTTATATTTCAAAGTAATTTTATTTTTTTACAGTTTTTAAATAATAAAATATTTTGTGAAACGATTCTGTGAAACTAAATCTTTAATGGAAACCTACATAGTCAAATATACTCAGAATCTAAATTGCTAAAAATATTTTTTTAAATGTTTATGTATTGAAAATTAAATTTAAAATAAGTGTTATACTTACATTATCAACATGTCATAATTTTATTACAATAATATTATGGTATACCTAGATCCAATATGTTTAAAATAATATTAATTGTATTCATATTAAGTAAAATTATAATTTTAAATAGACGCGAAAATATCCAAAATATTATAGTTGTATCTAGTTTAGTGGTGGATTTGATGGTCGTTTAGTATAAAAATGCAGATAAAATTTCTATCTCTATTTTTTTCTAAGGTCACTACTAAGGAACAGCTAAAAATTTTTGTAAAAAATATGTTACATTTACGAGTATAGATACTTTTTACACTAGATACTGCTTATATTTTTAACGAGGATCATTTCAATCTTAAATCTGCTACTAATCTCGTTCATTTTTTATTTATAATTATTGTTTACCATTATTAATGTTAATAATGTTAATAATTAATAACAGTGTTTTTTTTTAAGTCAAACACTTAAAATTTTTATTCACAGTTAGTTTATATTAAAACCCGTATAATGTGTTTTGTGATTTGAAACTTTTGAACCTTTCTCAATTTAAATGTGCTTATTTAATGTTATTTTTATTATAACACGAGCTTCAAATGTATTGTATAGCATCTATAAATTTATTTTTTTGCTATGTGACGATATTGTATTAACTATTAACGACTTATTAGTTTAGGATCTCTCAATTATATTTTAGGGTATTGTGAAAATCTGTACCATTCAGACAAATTATGAATTAATAACTCGTATAATATAATTCAAATTATAAATCTATTCTATACAAATACACTGTACATAGATTTATCTAAAATATTTTTGAAAATATTAAGATCAATATTATAATCATGAAATATTGAGGTAAAATTAAATCGTTTGACTTAAGAATACATTTTATAATTACTATGATATTTATTAAAAAAAATTCTTCTGACTCTGACACCAAAACACTTTGATGTTGAAGGTTTTTAATTTTCATATCTATATTGTTGTTTGTTACGTGTCATAAACATATAAAATAGTTATCCACATTATCGGATATTTCCAACAAAAATGTTCAAACCCTATCTCTCTAGGGTGGTATGAAAAAAAAAGTTTCGTTCTATAATAATACGTCTTTAGATCGATTGTGCTCAAAAACATTCTTTAATTATTATTTATATACATATATAACAATCTCTCTGAGGTTCGTTAATGACTGTTTCATAATATAGTATTTTTTGGAGGTTGTTTTGACCGGTATATACCGCGTGTGCTAGTGACAACCACAAATACCGTGGTGGAAATCTTTAAGTCATCGGTTACTCGTAAATTTCCGAACTACCTCTCAAAAACACCCGTTGAGTTACATATATATATGAGTGGAGCATGTTTGTGTAAAATAATAACAAGGATTATCGGTTTAACTTTGACATTGTTTTCATTTTCACGAGAAAAATAATGAAATTCACACCAACAACTATTGATCCATTAAATTTACTAAAATGTATTACTCGAATGGTGATGACGCTGTATATGATTTACTATGGTAAATGGAAATTATATAGGCCATTTAATACAACTTAATGTACTAATTTTGATGTAAATGGTTTCGGTTAAATCAATAAATGTACAAGATAGCACACTCCAGAAATATACTGAGTAGCAAAAAATAATACGATTTGATTCTTCTTTGTCTTCGTGTTACTTTTTACTGTAGAACAACATAAACCTTCAAAATTGAAATGTTCTTTGTAATTAAGTATAACACAACTATAAAATTATAGTTATACACCACACAGACATATGGTAACACAAAATAAATAACACCTAGGTTTGTTATTTTTTTATGACGAGTTATCAAAACAATTTTAATCCACAACGTATATATCATATCATGCTAACGGCATACATTATATATTTCAAAAATACTTTGGAATAATAGTACGTCAAGTTAATCCGATTATTGATCAGATCACACAAATTAATTTATTTCGACGTTATTTCATAATAGGATTTTTTTTATTAGCTATTAGAAAATACGTTTTGGCTTTCCAACTTATTACATATTTTTACACTTTATCCTTTACATCACTTGCATGAAAAGTATATTTTTCCTTTTTATAAAATAATTTAACACACATGTACGCATGTTACTTTTATGTATTTTAAAATGAATAAAATTTATTTAAAATAATATTTAATATTATTTATTTTTTTAAATATTAATTTTAATATGTTTTTAAGTTATTCAAGATTCAAAAGAAATCTCTTAATACCTTAATCCACAATTACAGAGTATTTGTTCTCAATATTTTATTTATCGTTAATATTTTGTGAAATTATTTAAAACAATAAGTTTTATAAAATATTTACTTATAATAATTATGATTTATAAAATTTGATAAATTTTAGTAATCAAATTTATATTATGAATTCGAATATTTTATAAACTTTTTATATATTTTTTTAAAGTAATTTTATCATACTTTTAAACCAATTTTTAATAAAATGTATTGATATATATATATTTATATATATCGTTAATATATCGTATAACTATTTCAATATATACATACGAATTGAATTAATCATAAACACAAGAAGTAGTTTAAAATAAACAATGTGAGCTGAAGAATAGTTTATTAAAATAATAAAATGTTTAAATAATTGTTTGAATAAAATTAAACATAATTTAATCATTCATTTCAAATTAATTATTCTTAAATTTTATATTATTTAATTTAAATGTACCTATTTATAGTAACATATCTAATTTTAAGTAGGTACATATATAAAATACACAAATTTATTAGATTATAAACAATATCATTCAGGATTCAATATTAAAAACTGTTTGAAGACTTAAAAAAATTAATGTTTAATGGAAAAAATAGTTGTTTATATTATTCTATGCTAAAAGTCATTCCGCATGTATACACTAGGACTTACATTAGGATAGAATTAAGTTGACTGGAATGTGAAAATTTTCAAAAACGATAGAATATAATCTTGGAATAAAAATGCTGACCTATTGTACTTGCTTCTGGCTGTAAATTATATGTGCATCACTGAATACGATAACAGAAAATATGATTATGTTATACCCAGTGGAACAGTGATAAGTTTATTCAAAATGGACATAAATATATTATGTTATAGTAAAATGGAACTGGTAGATTTTCATAATAATAATTCATTTGTCGGTATTTTAAAATATAAAACACATTTTATTTAAATATATGTATACATTTGTATAATAATATATCAACATATACGTAAATATAAATGATTTTAAATAATTAAACTTGTACATATTACTTATTTATTATAATATTTTCAAATTCATGAAAACATTACTGTTTTATACATTTAAAATTTTTAAATTTTAAACTGTATGTATAAGCTTTATAATTTATTTGAAGATATTATATACATATATATATATAAATGATAATAAAACGCTTAAA